TTTAAATCCATGCATCATGTGACACAGTCGCTACTTTTAGATTGATAAACAAAAATGGCGTCAAGAAAACGAGGTAGGTCGTTTGGTGTACACAATAACTTTTGACGTGGATGGCATACGTTTTATGCTTAAAGATACTTATCTTTGAAAACAACCAGTATTAACCATCTACTCTGTAATGACAGATATTAACTGTTATTCAAAATTGTAGTCAAAATGCAACGTACCTCGTTGTCTATGATTTCCCGCGGACATGTGTGTCTATATACTGTTTACGCACTTCCTTCATTAATATTCATGAATAGGCTGAATTCTTTATTGCAGATCTTGCTTAATTGTTTAGTAATTACAACGACTCATGTGGAAAGTAATTACATTTTATTACACATCATGTTTCTCAAATTATTTAATCATTTTGTTTCACATAAAAAATCGCGGTTATATAGCGTGTATATCTTTAATTAGTTTTCAATATCGAAATTCAAATAAAAGAAAAAAAATGTAAATATGGTTTAGTAACTTAATTGTAGTGCTGAATGGTTTTTGTTTTCATCTGTTTCATATTCTCATTACTTTTAAATCTTTCTATGTCATGAGGCAGGGTCAGGGCGTCCAGAAAATTGAACATTTTTTTAACTGTTTGCGCAATTATATATTTCATGATTTTCTCAGACTTACGTGTTTCTCACTAACCGTTTTTGTCTTTCAACCTACGTTTAACAAAAACTACTACGTAGGTAATATCAAAGAGATGCTTTGGGGATAACTGTGCATGGGAATTTTTCTAACTCTCCCCACCCCCATCGCTTTCATGTTTGTAAGAATTTGATTCTTGTTTTAAGAAATATTATATCTTTGTTTTTTTTTTGTAATGGTCTTTTCAGTGTTTCAGATTTTGTTTTTTCGCTCCCACATTGAAAGAGTTGCTAAATAGCCTGCCATCTATATTGAAGTATTGTTGTTGTGTAATAATTGAAATAAAAAAGACATTTTAAATCATGTTGATGCTCTGATGACTGTTGTGTGAAGGGTAACTACGTCATAATGATCATTATAATATTGTGAATTGTGTATTGAAATAAATAATATAAAATTAACGACAATGTTTATCTAATAAATGGAAACTGATGCATAATTTTTCTCTGCCTCTCAAAGATACAGCTGTGAATCAAATGTTTATAGTGTATCTGGTACGCTAACCTGATACTGTCTGGTAAAGAGTGAAAGAGGTATACTCATTGTCTAAACATTTTCACTGCCGTACACTTGAGTGATGGCACACAGAGATCCAGGGTATAATTTTAAGTATATTCATACCAGGCTTCTACGTATATCCGTATCAGGCTGTTAAGTATATCCTTTTCGGGCTTCTTAGTACATCCATATTATGATGCTAAGTGAATTATTTCAGGCTTATAAGTACTAGTATATGCGTATCAGGCTTCTAAGTGTGTTCATATCAGGCTTCTAGATAGGTTTGTCCACATCGAGCTTCTAAGTTCGTCCATATCAGATTGCTGGGAATATCCATATCAGGCTTTTAAGTATATCCATATTGGGCTTCTAAATAAATCCATATCAGGCTTCTAGGTAATTGCGTGTCCGTTTTCCAGTCCTTAGCTGAAGGGACAATTTTTTGTCATCAGCCGACGTTTAAACATTCGGCAGATTTCAAAATCAGTTAAGGAATTAGCCTTGACATGATAAATTGTCATATTTCAAACTTATTTTTTTTTATTTGATGATTACTTAGTTACAATATCTGTACATAAAATGATGTGCAATTATCCCAAGTCGAAAATTAAAGTATAAAAAAGATATTATGCATGTAACGAAAAGAGGTGTACCTTATAGGGCAATCTGAAAACAGACAGAACATATATATATATATATATATATATATATATATATATATATATATATATATATATATATATATATATATATATATATATATATATATATATATATATATATATATATATATATATATACGTTTATAAGGTTCGAATTTCCAATAACGCATTTTTTTTAAATGAATAGTCTTTACTTTACCTTTCTTTAAATGAGGTATGAAGATATAAATAATAATTTTGTTTATCGGTATGAGTTTGGCGTTTTCATTTGCATTAATAATTTTATTTCCCCCGCTTTCATGAAAGCGAGGGGACATTAAATCTCATTCGTCCATCCGTCTGTCAGTCTGTCTAGATGTCAGTCTTTTACAAAACTTTAACCTTTGTCATAACGTTTGAATGAGAAAAGATGGGGCTTTCATATTTCACATGTACATTACCCGTGACAAGACTTTTCCAAATATACTATTATTTTTAACCATGTGGCCTTGAAGTTTGACATACTTTTCCAAAAATCTAACATTACTTTTACCTTGGTCATAACTTTTGATTGCGAGAAGATGGGGATTTCATACTTCACATGTACATTACCTGTGACAAGACCTTTCCAAATATACTATTACTTTTAACAATAGAAATTTAGAAAATTTGCACATTGGTTATTACTTCTGTACGACAGGAGATATGGCATTTATATCTGACCCCGTGATCTTGACCTTCAAATTTGATCTTTTTTTTTCAAATTAAAAAAAAAAAAGAAAATTCAAAAAAAAGAGGGCTTTAATATTTTTCATATACATTACGCAGGACATCATCTTTCGGAACGGTATATCATTTTTTACTTCAAGACCTTGAACTGAAATTTGAAGGGCACACAAACAAAACAGTTGTAATATGCCATAAATATTTGCATCCAAACTACTAAGACACAAAAAATGGGGTACCATAACTCTTTGAATTTTCTTGTTTTACTTTATTGACAAGATAGAAAGAATTTATATATTTTTAAAAAAAAATCTTTTGATTGGAAATACATGAATCTCTTAGATTTCCTTGGCTCTGAAAAACTGAAATCTACATGTAATGTAAAATATATCATTGTTCTTTTTGTAACGAAAAAGAAAACTCCAAAGACCTGAACAAATTTTATTTGATATACTCTACTTGAACTAAATTATTTTGTACAACTGCATTATAGCCACAAACAGAAGACCACCAAGAAATGACAATCGTATTAGAAAGCCTCATAGAAATTTACTTGTTTTTCTTCCTGTTAACCTTGCTATAACAAAAAAAAATTGTAAATGTGACTTTGAACTTGCCAAAAAGACCTTTGTTTAAAAAAACACATCCTCTGATCATAAGTAATATTTAAATGAAATATGTATATTCAGTGTTTCTCCTTTAGAAAATTATAGATCTTTCATAAAGGTTACACTTTTTATACCACTTACCTTGAATTTGCCACAATGAGCTTGGTTCGAGGTCATGACTTTCGATCAGGTCATAAACAATTTTTGTACCAAGTATGGGCTTCCTTTGATTCTTCATTATAAAGTTATACCCTGGACAAGAATTTTATACTTTTTTTTCTGCCAGCGACCTTGAACTTGCAGGAATGACCTTAGGTTAAGGGCATGGCACATCCACTGGTCATAAGCAATTTTGGTAACAGGTATATCATACCACTATGAGCTTCAAATGATTCTCCATTGCCAAGTTATAACCCGTATAGAAACTTAGATTTTTTCTGCTGGAATGACCTTGCGTCAAATCCATGACATACCCTCTGATCATAAACTGTCTCCGTAAATCTATAATAAATAATGTATAAACAGAGTGAAATGAAATGAGTATTTGATAAAGTTATTCACGCAAAATAGTAATAATAACGAATGCAAAGCTTGTTGCAAAGCAACGAGTAGGTCTTCCGACGGACGATTGACGTCGAAAGTAATGTACGTAGAGTTCTCATCCTAAAAAGATTAAAATTAAGTCAAATTTAAGAAAAATACAATAAAAAATCATATTTTCGACAACTTGCAGTTTCGATTTCGACTTTTCTGACCGTTAGGTCGTCACTTTCGTTTGATATCGAAAGTCACAAAGGCGGAAAAGAAACCTTAAAACTCAATTACAAATCATTTTATACTATTTCTAATGATTTTAGAGAAAAAAGCTTTATTTTTCGATTACTTCTGGTTTCTGCCGGAAGGATTTCCGATGGATTGGTTTTGCTGTCGATTATCCATATGAACAGTAATTCTATTTACCATAATTAAAGAATTAAAAATTGTTCTTTTTTTTTTTTAAATCGCTTAATTTAAGATCACTTTCGGTTTCGACCGGAAGTGACGGAAGCAAAAACAAAAGGCGTTAGGCATAACTCAGAGTTGTTCTTTCTTCCATCATTGTTTCATGATTCTATCTCGTGTCTTTTGTAAGAAAATGCATGGACAAAATGACAATTTAAAAAAATGAAAATCCGATAAAAATGCAACCGGAAGTAATTTTTCAAAAAGTAAAAAAATTGCTCTGGAGATATGATGATGATGGTCATTCCTGAAAATTTTATTGAAATCGGTCGGCTAGTTTCTGAGAAATCGTGTGTACTATGAAAAAGGAGGTCTTTCGACGGACAATGAACATTTGTTCTATTTACCTTTCTTCAAAATCGCTATATTAAATATCACTTCCTGTGTAAACTGGAATTGAGGATGCAAAAACACAAAAACCTTAGACATAAATCTGAGAAATGTTCTATCTTCCCTGAAAATTTCATGATTCTATCTTGAGTCGTTTATAAGAAAGTGCTTGGACATAGTGACAATTTAAAAAAAAAAAAGGAAACTCGGGAAAAATACGACCAGAAGAGATTTTGTTTCAAAAAAGTATGGTCTGGAGATATGATAATAATGCATAATTCCCGAAAAAAATCATTGAAGTCGGTCGACTAGTTTCCCAGAAAACGTGTGTACTGTGAAAATGGAATAATAATACATGTAATAATAATAATAATAATAGGAAACAAAAGGAAAATATTAAGATTTTCCGAAGGAAGTAGGAACCTTAATAATCACTTCATATCATTCTTTGCTGCAAAACAGATTTTCTTATTACATGTATGAATGTAAAGTTTTCTAGTATAACTTTATATCTAAGTTTAATTATATAGGCTGTATATGAGAAAACTCAGTCATTTCCCAACAGTGATGGATTAATTTAAGTTACGGTCATAAAATCATTTTCAAGACAACAAATTATACATATTGACCTGGTTTGAACTTGCAATAAGTAAAACGTCTTTAAAAATAGCGATGCTTCTTGGTTTGGTCTGCCATTTGTCTATTTTTAAACAAGTTTGATAAATTCCTTTGCTATCAAATATTGACAGACTCGCATGATCGTAGTCAGAAATAAAAATGTTATTTTGATTATCAAAAGCAATGGACCCAGGGTAGGTATCTATACGCTTAAAAATCTTGCAGACGTGATCCAGCAGGTATACACAGTCATGTTCCCAGTCAGACACTACACATGTTTTGTTTGGGAGAAGGCTGGCATACATGGGCTTGCTGAAGGAAAATTTTTTCCCTTGGTCATCTAGTATTTCTTTCTCATCGATTTTGTCATTGTTTTTTATAAAGATCTTCTTCTTTGTCATCCATCCTATTGAATTGCTGTCTGGATTTTGTGTAATAAGTGTTGAAATCCCTTCAAACTTCTTCAATTCATTGAAGTTCTGATCGAAAATAAACAAACGTGAGCTAGCAATGCAAGCAAATCCTAATCGATATGAGGAAATTACATAAGCACCTGGTACTTTAATTGATTTTACTTTATGTACTTCAGTGCAGTGTGTTAAAACTTTAATCTTGCTGTTTTCCTTGTCTATAGCAGCTATTCGACCATCCATCGTCCAAACAACACTCGTAAACACTGGGGTACGCAAATCGTCGGCTTCATATAGAGAAACCTTTTTATACATTTGGAGTTTAAAAAGCCTGTGACGTTTCTCTCTTACACTAAGATTTGGTAGACTTTTTGAATTTTGCTTTTGTTCAGTTAAATTACTGGACGAATTTTGTACTGAGGAACATTTCGGCACAGAAGTATTTGTCGTCATTTTAGGGGACTCTTCCATTTGCACATCTTTCTCAAAACTCTTGGATGAAGAAAAACATATCATTGGTGGTTCTTTCCACTTAAAGTGTAAATATGGAATTTCTACTGAAGGACATTGGTATTGATACTCCTGTGCCGCATAAGTTTCGCTGAGTTTCGACAATCTTTCGTAAATTTCGTCAAGCAAAAGCAATACCTCAACATCATTTCCTCTTTTCAAAATATTCTCTGAAAAGTTAACCGACTGGTTAATGTTTTTAAACATTTCAGTTAATTTATCATGAACCTGCATCAGACGTTCTCTTCCAGGTTTCACTTTTTTCTGAAGTTCATCTGTCATATTCTTTTGAGCCTCGTGAATGACATTCACTGCATCAATGCATACCTTATCTATCTCACCTTGCATCAATGTTTCCTTTTCTTCCAGCTCCTTCATCCGAATCTCAACTGTTGAACGCTTGTCATTTAAAGTCTGAAGATTCTTTTTCAAAGGTTCTAGTATGGCAGATATCTTGCCCTCCTTAGATTTTCTTACATCAGAAATAAGTTTACATTCATGATGTTTGTGGTCAAATAAAGCACAGTCTCCACAAAGAGATAAATTACACTGGAGGCAAAAGTATCGAATTTCATGGCTGTGTTTTGGGCAACGAGTCATTTGAGCCAATTGTATTTCTCTGTCGTATTTTCCATCCCTTATTTCACTTAAGGGCATTACCTTGTGATTTCTATTTTGGGTGGTAAATGTATGTCTTGTTTTTGAGCACTCTTCGCAGAGAAAGTCTAAGCAAGTTATGCATTGGGAGACGGCTAGGTGATCGTCATCCATACAAAATGAACATAAAGTTTTGGATGAATCAGATTGTTTTTTAATTAGATCAATCATATTCTGCAAACAAAAATTCTTTTTAAGTCCTTTTGGTTCCAAGGAAAACGTTTCCCTGCAAATTGGGCAATTGTATGGCCCTTTTGAATAACAAGTTTGGATGAATGTAAGAATGCATTTCTTGCAAAATGAATGCAAACATGGCAGCGTTTGAGGTTCCGTATAAATCTCACAGCATATCGTGCACGTAAGGAAGTCGTCTGCTAGTGTTGTTGACAGAGATTCCATATCATTCTACAACGAAATATTTTTTTCCCCAGTTTAATATCAACCATTGTGTTTGAAACAGAATTGAAAAAATCTCGGCATTACAACATGTACAAGCCTACAAGGTTAGTTGTACATAATATGACCTCTAACAGAACAGTTTTCTGTAAAATAATTTTCACATTTGTATCTGATAAGACAAAACAATTCGATTTACTTACAAATAGATTAATGCACAATCCGCATTCCAGAACTTTCCTAGACAACACAACTCAAATGAGGACTCTCAAATAAAAAGAGCAAACATTAAGATAAAAACGTTTTGAAGTCCCGGATCCGATCACATGAGGCAGTAAAGTATGTCACACATGCTTGCAGTTCATTGGTTTGTTATAAAAGCACGTAGACCACCTGTGTAAATGCTTTGTCAACATTTGATGCGTTAAATATCTGTATATTGGTTTGAATATTTGGACAAACAAATAAATACACAAAATGAAGAGGTAAAAGAAGACCTCTCAAAGGGAAAACTTACTTTTTAAGCTTTATTTATTCATGCTGAACATTTATTTTTTTTAATGTAAAATAAAAAGGTTGGCCATGAGCTACATTCTGGTATAATTTGCCGGTGTAAGGTAAAATATTGACCAGGGTTGAAAATTAACACGAGTTGAAAATTGACCTGGGTTCATTTTTCAACGTTGAATATTGAACGGAGGTGTTATATTTCTCCGTTGAAATTTGAGAACAAAGTCGTGGAATTTATACCCAAGGTCATTCTTCAACATCTTGGTAATTATTTTTCTTTTTGGCATTTATGACATAAACGCGTTGAAAATTGATCCTGTTGAAAAACTGACCCCCCCCCCCCCCCCCCCCCGACTACATTGTTTTGCCCTTGTTCGATCTGGAAGTTATGCATGGTTTATACATACATGTAACTACTAACATATTTATCAGTTTCAAAATTTGAATTTCTTCTAGCATTATCATAACATCAGAATGAAATCAGGAAACATATGGCATCCCGAAAATACAGTTGTTGTTCAGTACACCTTATATCTCATTTCATGGTTGTCTTTGATAAAAGGTAGTAGAAGAACTACGTATTGTACTAGAATTACATTCTAAAGGACCCCTTTATCGCCTTCCCCCTATTAAAGGTGCTTCTTATGATATATTACTCATTATTAAATACCGCCTAGGATAAACATGCACGAGTTTATTTTTCCTAAATTTGGGACAAGATGAGTGAATTCGATTAATCCTATCTATGCTGGATTCTAAAACTTCAGAAGAGTTCTTTACAAAGATTCATGCATGTTCCAGCAAATGGTACCAATCCCCTATTTTTACTTCTCTTAACATATTCATGAACTGGTGTAAATCATGTAAATTATGGATTTTAAAATCTCTGACGAACTTTTACGTTTTTAAATATTTAAAAATCTCTTGTTTTCGAAATGAGAACACCAAAACGTATGATTTCACAACACTTTATATAGTCCTTATGATAAATTAAAGATTAGGTATTTTGATATCATAGAACGCCTTAAATTCGTCAAGAAAAATGGAATTTGGGAAATTTTCCTGTCTCGTGACTTATCATTATACTATTAATTTAAAAAAAGAAAAAAAAAAGTCTGCTTCTATTAACAAGTACTTTGAGGTTGATATTATTTTTTTTTTTTTTTGCCGGAGTTCCTCTTTCACAAGATCTATGTTGTCGTTGAGACCAAGTCTTCTAACAGTATGTTAGAATGTTGATAGGGCGTAATTTTGTGCTCTTTTTCTAGCAGACCTGTATGTTTTTATAATCCTATGAAGCAGACTATTCAAATACATTGTACATCTACATGAGAACAAACAAAATCTGCTGAAGGCTTTCACTCCCATCAGATATATCGACTACGTTTTATCAATTAACTATAATTACTCTCATTCATATGTTGACTCTCTATATATCCCAGTGAAATAAAAGACAATACAGAGTCCACATGATCGGTTTCATATATGGGTGTTTTACTGACTATAGACGATTGATTGATTGTATGTTGCTTAATGTCCCTCTTGAGAATTTTTCACTCATACATGTATGGAGACGCCACCACTTGCCGATGGAGGGCTACAAATTTTTGACGTATGTTCGGCACTTAGGGCCATTGAGCAGCGAGGGATCTTTTTCGTGCCAGTACTTTCTGCGACACGGGATCTCTGTTTATTCGGTCTCATCCGAAGGACCGGTCTCCACGTCCCGCAGTGGGATTCGAACGTAAGGATCAACTCCTTACTCCGCAACTCGAGAGCAGACGCTCTAACTACTGCACCACGTGGGCGACGACTATAGACGATAATGGTCAACTGACAGCTAAACTTTTGACAAACGAGAGGACTTCAACATTTCTATGATTGATAGATTGATTTATTGTATGTTGTTTTACGTCCCGTTCGAGAATTTTTAACTCATATAGAGACGTCACCATATTCCGGTGAAGGGCGTCAAATTTTGACCTTTACTCGGTACTCAGGGCCATTGAGCAGTGAGGGATCTTTATCGTGCCAACGCCTGATGTGACACGGGGCCTCGGTTTTTAAGTTCTCATCCGAAGGACCCGCAACTTTTACTTCAAAGTGCCGAGCGCATGGCGAAGGTACAATTGCTACCCATTTTTTATAAACAGTTGTGAACAAAGAAATCCGGAGCACTATGAATTGCGCCCGGTCTATCGGGTGTGTATTTTAAACATGAGAACGTGAAGACATGCCTACATGTGACTCAAAACACGACAGAGACCATTTTATAAAGAAGTAGTTACTGTATTAGCTGTTTTGTGCCATAAACATTTAATGTTTTCAATTTGTTTGTAATTGGCTAAAATATGAGAAGAGTATATGAGTGTGATAAATCGCGAAAGAATATGGCATGAAGGAGAACCATTCTGGAAATATACTACAGTGTAGTAAAAAAAAAAAAAAAAAAAAAAAGCTAATGTGACGTGTCAATGCATTTTCACAAAATTTGTTTAAGCACTGATACATAACCGTGTGTTTTCTGGATCTTTGTATTTCCCGATTTTTATTAAAGATTATTTTTATTTGCGGAATGAAGCAACATGTTTTGACATCGATTTATCACATCCTTACTTATTTTCCAATAAAGGAAAGGAATTTATTTTCATTTGATATTTTAAAGAACGTAGCCGTAACTTTATTCGAAATGTATATATATATATATATATATATATATATATATATATATATATATATATATATATATATATATATATATATATATATATATATATATATATATACATACATATATATACATATACATATATATACATATATATATATATATATATATATATATATATATATATATATATATATATATATATATATATATATATATATATATATATATATATATATATAACACCACCGGATTTGAACGGTCAGTCTGTGACAACCTGAGAAATGAAGTGATCCAAATTTGTTCTGATGAAATATGAAGATACCAAACAATACAAATCATAGCAGAGCAAACAAGGACTCTAAAAACATAAGACATAAAAACATAAGATCAGTGCCAATTAGGAGTAAGCATCCCCTATGGATTGGTCACACTGGACTTGTGATCCTTGTTATAATCGGGCAAACAGAAAGATTCCTAGACAATTCAGTGAGAAAAAATGCCCTAACAATTTGTATGAAAAACGTCAGTAAACATTCGTCTCGACAATAAATTGTATTTGCTGACATTCTCATTGTATCCACCATAGAATTTACAGACTGTAGATATCCTTGTATCATCAACTTATTTTTTCAAAAGCTTGAATCGTTCTAGAAATTGCATGTGTTTTCTCTTGCTTGTGGAATCAATATTGCCATAATAAAACAGTCGAAGCATATTCTCTTGCGAGAAAACATGATCATGGGTCCCTTGATTGGACCAATTTCATTAAACCTTGCCTAAAAAGATAGATCTAGAATATAATTTTGTGGAAACACTTCTTACTAGCTCCCTCAGTAGTATTCCTTGCCTTTAAGATAAAAGTTCGTACACAGGAATAATATTGAAAATAAATCCATAAATTCAGCGGTAATTATTTATTTTTAAAATTTTGATGTCTATGTACAAATTTTTCGTCCGATTTCTTGGTCGTTGCATGGCGATCCCTGCAAATAAAGATTGGAAGAATTTGAAAAAGAAATTAAATAAATCTTATGTAAGAGAGAGAAAGAGAGAAGGAGACAGACAGTTGCTAAATATAATTTAAATATAATTTGATAATAAATTAATCATTCACACATTAACATACGTTATAATAAGTGAATCTATTTTAAAATATAGAAAGATGAACAGATAATATTTATTTTTGATGCTTACTTGAGAGAACTGTTTTGTACCTCATTTCCCGCTAAAATTCAAGTAAACGGAAATTAATCAAGTGATTGAAAAGCTTTCAGTTATGCTGGAAACTATTAGACAGATTACTGTCAGCAAAAAAAAAAAAAAAAAATGAAATAGGCCTTGAAAAATATTTGAAGAACAGTAGAAGAAAACTAAAATTGTTTCAGTTCCTGGGATATGTATAACTTTTAACAATTATTTAGATGCGAAATCTCACAAAGACTCTCTAAAGAGGATCAAATTATTTTCCAAATTAAAAATTTTTAAAAGACAAGAGACAAGAGATCACACTTTAAAAAATCATTTGCGCAAAAAACCCTTTCTTTTATTTCAGAATTGCGCGGTCTTCTCTGATAAAGAGACTTAACACATTATTGCTTCAGCAGAAAATTACCCCTTCAATGAGTAATTTTGACGCTTTTTCTGTTTACAACTTAGAAATGTAACAAATTTATAAGGTCATATTTCTACAATGGTCCTCCTTTATACCACACTTTTCATAATTTATTACATTCATCTACTTAACTCATATTTAAGCTAATTTCATAACTTTTTAAAAACATTAAAGTTTTAGGGCACAATCAATCTAAAACCGTACCTTCTATTTTGTTTTATTCCTTACGGGTTGAATTTTATCACGAATAAGTTAATTCAGTAAATGTGTAATTTTATTTAATACAGTTTCTCAATAGTATTAAGTTTGTAAGATTTTAAAACTGAAATTTTAGTCATAGCATCAAGTTCTTTTGAAAAACAGTTCCCTGGTATCTAGGTGATATTTTCAGAAAAGAAATATAAGGTGTCTTCTTTTTTTTTTTTTTGTCTATTGTTTATTAGTTACAAGATATCTGACCATTAAAACTATAAAAGCACCTTTCGTATAATACATTGAGAGTAATGTATTATTGTATAATTCTTTTATTCAAGTGATGAATTTTCATAGCTGATAATCAGATGTGAAAAACTTATCTCAAAGTAATGTAAAGATTACTTTATAAATAGACACATTCCCTTGCACGAAAACCCCTTTCAATATTCGGGAGCATAGAAGATTTTTTATAAAATATTTGCAGTTTCACTATATCTTAAATTTATACATGTAGAGCCCCGCTCTAACACGTAGACCCCTGAACAAAGGACAAAGAATTTTACAATTTTGAAAGAGGCTTACTTTTCATCATAACCGTGCACTTTATTTATCTGCTAAATATACTGCGAGAAAGAAGAAATTTTCAAAGAATTTATGCATTTCTATATGATCGATAAAACCCTGCATTAAGACCAGAACCCCCCCCCCTCCGATCCGCGGGCGATAAATTTCTAAATTCTCGGAAAAAAGCTCCACCGCAACATCCATCAGAAACCCTGATCCTTTGTTCATGAATTTCACAATTTTTGTAAATTACCCATTACTAATTAAAATATTGCTAACTGTTTGAGTCTTTGATGTTAGGAGTAAAGAGAAAAAAATTGACGATTGCATTTATTTGATGTTTTTTGTCCCATCCCTCAAGCCCCAGGAAGGGAGACACCTTGAAATTCGAAATTTAGACGCTATATACATGTATATGTATATGTACCAAATTTGGCTAAATTGGTTCAGTGGTTCATGCTGAAAATGTTCAAAAGTTTACAAAGAATGACGATAGACAAAAAGAGATCGCATTATGTCACTAAGTGACTCACGTTACCTGAAACTATACAGGTTGTGGCCACAAAAATACTCCAGTCACACAGAACAAATCATACCGAGCTAGCCTTATGTTTCCAGTTTTAAGATGCATTATAAAATATTATACTTTTAAGATGAAGTATAAAATATAATACTTACTAATAAGATATATTCAATCCATGTGCTAGATTTGAGTTCATAAATTCCGCGAGAGCATTCATCATTTCAAACTCTCCTAAAAGACCGGTACTTCTGGCTGTTCTGTAAAGAATATCGATTTTTAAGAATGAGAGTAAATCGAGGAATCGCTTTACATACGTAAACAAAATCAGATTCCCTAATAATCATGCTTTTTGAATTTATCAATAAGTATTGTTTTCTTTTGGACAATTACTTTATTTTTTTATGTTCCATGTACAGTTAGATGTTTTTGCATGTACATGTATGTCATAGTTTTGGTAACAGAGAAATACTTTAAGAATGGATGTCATTTGGTTTCTTCAAAAGCGAGGTATGACACTTCATGTCAAATTCGACCGCTAATAACTTACTTTTATTTCAAAATTCCGTGAAAATTTAAGTATCAAATTTTGTATTTTTTGTACAGTCAATATAATTAATGATAAAACATATCGATAAAAACGTTTAGAGAATACATGTAAAATAATTTCTTTTTAATATGAAACATGAAGATAACAAACAGTTTAAAAATTGATAACTGTTATCAATCTCAAAAGTCAATTGAAACAATACAAATTTGGAACAGAGCAAACACGGTATCTAAAAAAATCAGAGATGGGATCAGGTGCCATGGAGGAGTGAGCATCCCCTGCCGACGGGTCACATCCACCGTGTTCTCCTTGTCAAGAAAAAAGGAAAAAATCCGTAGAGTATTCAGTGTGTAAATAATGGCCCAACAATTCATATGAAAAAAAAAAAACTTCAGTCAGCATTTGACATTATGATAGGTTGTATGTACTGACAAGGTCATTGCATCGACCATAAAAATTGCAAAATGATGACTTCAAAGGAGACTGCTGGTATCCTTTGTTTCATCAACTTGTTTATCAATAACTTGCGAAATTGTTCATACGTAAAGCATGCTCTCGCGTATGGAATATAAAAAAAAAATTACCTTCCTGGCCTTGATCTCATCATTAAAATCCTGTTATTTAAAGGGTTTTGAACTGTTACGGACAAGAGCATGCAGAGTGATATGATGAATGCAATAGAGGGACCCATTACGTTAATGTGAAAACCTGAAAACAGAGAACAATCTCAAAAGTACTGTATTTGAAATAAGTGAAAATGATGTATTTTCGATGTCAAGATATGAAATATTTTTTACAACATTTCTTAAGCTTTTTCTTTGGCTATGAACACGTTAATTTTTACTTAAACTGATAAACACTGAGGAGAACTGTATAGATTAAAACATTGAGTGATTGCTCCAATAATATTTCTTTATTTTTTTCTTTCTTAAGTTCTCGTACAAAGGGCATATATAATTATAAAACTGGTAGTCATCCTCAATATATCAGTGTGCGATTCACAGATTGAACATTACAGAGCCTTTGGTCACTTTGGTATAAGAATTCCTGTACAAAATTATCTTTCAATCTTTCTTGAATGATTTTAAAGCAAATTCAGCTATTCGAATTATTCTGCTCTAACCCAAACTTTGAAAACTACACGTAGATTTTTAATAGCATATGCTTAATAATTACCCGATTAAATAGGATTTTCACATTCACTTTAGAAAATGGCATATGGAGCTTCAAAACATGCTTGTTTACAACAATTCAGACATATATAGCAAACTCCATCAAACAAATATTTTACCATACATTTCAATCTTTAATAATAGCAAAACAAAATTTTATCAAAAAATTCTTTCTACGCATATCTTTGTTAGAAAAAAAAATGAAAAGGAGGTCTTCAATACTGTTATTTAAACAATGAAATGCTTTCTTTGGTATCTAGTACGGGAATTGATGTTGCAGCTGTTGTAGAAAACATGCATAATCCGTGTTTTTTTTTTCCTGCAATAGCTGCAACGTTAACTCCCTTACTTACAAACAAAGAAAGACTTTTTATTGTTTATATTTATATCTGTACAAATAATGATTTGAAGTAGGATTTAGTGGATGAAATAGTGTATTATTGATATGTACGTCACTGTACGTTTCATTGATGGAGCAGCCACTGCTCAATAAAATCTGTGGATGTGATAGGCTTAGCGGTGTTTACTGACTGATAAACGGCAATGGTTTTCATAAGAAATAAAGGAGATAATATTTAATAGTTGTAAATATATATATATATATCTATGAAACAGATTTTTTTTCTTTTCATAATGTGATATAATTATATTAACTATTCAAACTGTGATCTTAACCAAGAGAAATTGTAATCATGAAAAAATGTTTAAATTAATCAATGGGATTCTTTTTAAACAATTGAATCTAAATGACAATATCTTTCTTACCTTTCTGTACGTCTAGAGTCGCAGACTTTCACCTTCCAATAAATGCATAGGAAACGGGGGTATTTATAAGGACAAACTACATCCTCGTCTTGTCAGCACACAGTGGGGACACTTCCATATCATATTTTCTTATAATTATTACACTTCCGATTTTGACATTTATTGTTATTTCGCTATAAAACATAGACAGAGAATGACAACTTTTCAGCATATGCCATATATGTTTTCTTAAGTTTTTAAGAAGTTCGTCTTTCTTAGTTTTTGTTAATATGTTTTGATCATGGAGTTTTACTTCTTATATTACTGTCTATCTACTCATATACATAATACCACCATCAATCTGACACCCACGATAATTACACCAAAAAAGACTGAGAATACACTGTTGTTTTCTCAGTTCTGTCTGGACTTACTTGTCAGAATTGAGATATCATTCAAAGTTTTAAAATTGAAGGCTAAGGTTCGTTTGTACATGTATTTATACCCCCGCTTAAAAGTCCGGGGGGGGGGGGTACTAATATAGTGATTGGGGTGTACGTCCGACCGTTTAGCTGTACATCTGTCCTTTCGTCCGTTACGCTTTGGGGTACCCATCTTTTATTCACAACTCCTCTTATACCACTCAATAAAATTTAATGAGACTTTCACAGAATCCTTGTTACATGGTGCACCTGTGCAAATCCTTTTTCACTTTTTGATTGGACACGTATTTCTGGTCTCCCATAGCAAAACATGGACTTTGCCAATATAATCATATGGGAGCAGGGGTTTATTTGTGAGTGCAGTGCTCACAGTACTGTTGTGTTTCAATCAAATTACAAATATATATATATATATATATATATATATATATATATATATATATATATATATATATATATATATATATATATATCTATATCTATATCTATTAATTCCTTTTTTATTTCCTCTTTTATTTCGTGGCTATAAATTGGAGATGCGTTAAAGTCTTCAAGAATACCCTTACCCCACCTCCCAAAAAACATTTCTTGTTAAAGAAAAGTTGTTGTAAGCAAAGGCTTATCCGTGTTCTTTTTTACGGTCTAGATATTTTAAAATGTATGCAATATTTACTCGTATTTAATTGTTTATAGAATAGAAGCTATTTTATTGTAATACTTACAACATGTATTTAAATTCCATGTCAATCACTCATTTCAGTATCTCAATAAGTCATGCCAAGTCAATTTTTTTTTTTCAAATATGCAATGTGTCATTCTCTTTTCTTCGAGACTTTTTCCTTATAATTTAAATTTTGGCCATTTTTTGTCTGTTCTTTCATATGAAATATACGTGTACAATGTTTGGCAATTACTTATTAGAATTTAACCCGATCCGATAGTTTTTAGCTGCTATTATAACCGATGAATTGTGTAGATTCCAGGGATCACGCGTAATGTAAGTTCTTCTAATAGCGTTACCTCAAAACCATGAAATATCACGTTTTAGGATCATTTTTAAAATGAGCAATGTCATGTACTAATATTGTTATACTATCCATCATAATTGTACTTAATTCATATTTTTTTTCTCTTTGGGGCTCTAAATTAGAAATATTCTTTTCTTTTTTTTACCTTTTGATCTCTTTAATTGAAGATAGCAATATATATAGTTTCTGATGTTCAGAAAATCTATATCTATTGAAGAAAAACAACAATATATATATATATATATATATATATATATATATATATATATATATATATATATATATATATATATATATATATGTATATGTATGTATGTATGTATGTATGTATGTATGTATGTATGTATCTAGTATTTAAGTAGTTACTGAAGATTAGAAACTCTTAACAAATCCGAGACTATTGAACATGTTGAAGCAAAAATAATTTTATTCAGAAATTAGCAAGACTATCCCCCCCCCCCCCCGTTTTTCAAGTACTAAATTGATGTGAAATACACATTAATATAAGAAAATATACTTTATTCATGCCATGTCTTTCAGTTATAACACATTCCTGATTCTATCACCTTTTGACAAACATAAAATTAGAGGTCATGAACTGCATCGCCTTAACTATACCTGTACAATGTACGTATGTACATGTATCTAATAACAAAGGTACATTTATCATATTTGGCTTCTAGTATTGTTTTGAGTAATACCTTTATAATTTCCTTCTTTTATTCAAAGTAGTCTTACTCTATTCGCTTCAGGGGGCGGATCCAGAAATTTCAGAACGAGGGTGACGCAGTTCAATGTTTTTATTTTTTTTTTTTATTTATTTATTCATAGTTTTTGGACAAGCAAAATAAAAATACAAGGAAAAAAATAATTGTCTAAACTCGAAAATCATATTTAGTGGAAACGGGGGTGGGGATAGGGTGAATGGAGGGGGTGTGGGTTATAAGTAGTAGGCTCAGACTTTTTCCATATGATTATTTTTTTTCGAATCAGTCGTATTGATAAGTGCCTGTTCTCCGAATGTAACGTGCATGTAAATTAAGAGCACATACAAGTTAAAGAAACAAAATCATGAAAATGTGCAAAAATGAATAAAAAATATGATACTAATAAAAAAATATAATTTAAAAAATCAAAGGGGTGGGTTGGGGGGATCCGCCCTTGGTTTTTATTTATTTCATTTCTATTAACTTGGATATGTGCATGTGCATGTGTAGAGGCAAACAATACATCGATTCACATTTTCAGCTTATTTTGATTGTATACTTCACACTTTTTATCTTTTCTGATTGAGAAGATCATGTCAGCGCTTTTTATCTATAAAGATATATAATTATTGATGAATTTTAAGTACTCTATTTTAGAAGTTTCATCAATGAGTCTTTCTTGCTTTTGGATTTCAGAAAGTACATGTGAATTCTCATACACTCCATAATAGTTATAGATAATGTTAATATTTGTAAATTTAAAAAAAAACTTAATTTTGAGTTAATTTTTTCTTTTCTCAATGAAATGTCCAGTTTTTATGAATATATAGAAAATATTTATTCCTTGATTGTTACATGTGCATTAGAAAATTAATCTTAGTTTTCAAACTGAAAATTTACTCCTTTCTTCCTTAATATTAATGTCAAAATGCTTCGGATTTTAAAATCAGAGATGATTTATGACTGGAAAAGTATCCATAGGCGCTTTAACGTGTGCACAGTGCGCTTTGGCGTTATCGATAAGACAGAAACAATTAGTAAGTCTACTCATGTAAGTAGGTAATTCTAATTAATTTTAGCATGTAATTGCGAACATACTTCAGAATTCACTGTAATTTTGCCCCGCTTAATATCATACTTGTACACTTCGTCTACTTGTAGTAAACAAGACATTAAACTTGCATGTGTTGTAAGTTATCCTTTCATTCCTCTACATGTTTTCTGCTATCTACATTGCCGAGAACACAATTAAAGACAATTCACAAGTCTACAAATGTAAAGTCTAGAAGTTTGTCATTTTGTTTATTATGAGAAATTATGCGATTGGAGGAATATCAGAACCATATTTTTTTAAATGTTTTATTTTCTAGCTTATTCTAACTTCTTGTTTTTCCAAATACCCCCCTAAAACGTTGTCACGAACCCGCATTTATTGGATGGCTGTTTTTAAAAATTTGATATCATTGCACCTTAATTAGTTCTTAATGACTGCGGCACTGATCACAGTAGCCTAGTGTCTAGGGGAGATAGGTTCGTACGCCATGGGAGCTCAGCGTTTGATTGTCCAATTTTTCTGGTGCCGTGCCAAACCGAGATATTTTTAAATACAT